GCGGCGGGCAAAGCGGTGAGTGACAGCCCACGAGCGGGCGTGACGGCAACGTGAGGGGGCATACGAATATGTCGGTTACAACTTTTGTGCCTTGATGTAGGGTTAGGGAATGTCTAGATTAAATGACACTACTTTTGCATACCAGAATAAACAAAGAGGTTTCGTGCTTGCTTATGAAGCAGTCGGTATTTGCCGGCGAGCTCAGACTGCGTCGACTTCATGGGTTGCAACCAGCGAGGCGGGTTATGACCCCAATGACCAGATTTAGCTGAGGGTTGCATCCCACAAACTCCTACGGCTGAGCATGAGGTATCGGGCAGCCCTTGGGCATGCTCGGCGAACAAAACGGCGGAAGCGATGGCGGCGAATGCTGGAGCGCATGACGTCCACGACTATGGCGTGTATCTGCCGTGAATAATTAGAACAAGTATGAGAGTTGGCCGATGATGCTGCACGCACCTGGTTGACCGGGGTGAACTTGCGCGGACGGCGTGACTTCTTCGTCTTGCGACGCGTAGGCTGCCCCGTCCCTTCACCCTCTTCATCAGCCCAGGACTCATTGCCGTCATCATCTTGCACGGCATCTGAGTCCTCCCCACTCGAATTTCCCGAATCCGAGGACCGCTCCAGCTCATCGTCGTCTGCGACGAACCCAGCCGCAAGCTCTGCGTCAATCTCCGCTCTCTGCAATGCCTCCTCCTCACGCAGATCCTCGTCCTTCTCCTTATCGTATAGCTCCGTCGGAAGGCCCTGTGCCTTTGCTTCGATATGCAGGTCCGTATTGGAAGTAGCTGGTGCTGCCCCGACGCCCGACATAATATCTCTGTTCAATTTGATTAGTTCCCATTGTTAGACATGAGCCTAGATTGAGCCGTCAACGTACTGGCATGACAGGTTGATGACGTGTGCGCCGCAACCAACGTCAATTTTCATTGCGTCGAGTTTGAGATGCGGGTGGCGTTTGTTACCGCGTTTTGCGAGCGCGCGGTTCATAACGCCATTGGTGGAGGTGTTGTCCGACGTGTTCGCAACTATAAAAATATCAGGCAATGCTATTACAACCTCCGGAAATGAGTCCGTACTGAATTTCCGGTCTATGCCATACCGCCGCAAGCAGCGAAAAATCTCCTTGCCGTACACCTTGCCCGAATGGTCCTCGTCGAGGGGAATGAGCTCCAGAGGATATTCAACGAGGTTCCAGTTCTTGTCAATGAAGCTCGTGATCACGCCAATAAACGAGTAGACAGAGCTCTTGCTTCCCCATCCGTCCACAATGATAGCGATGCGCCCGGGATGTGCCTATTTGGACAAATGTCAACTTCATGAGAATGAATGAGTCCAGCAAAATACGCACATCGAAATCGGGCCGAACGCGCTTCGCTGTCAAAGCCGCGTGCAGCCTATCAAGGTCACCCCGCACCATCTTCCGCTTTGGGACCTTATAGCCATCGGGAAGCACATAACGGAACACCTTGTGCATGCCACCCTTCTCGCCAAAGGTGAACGGGAGGTCATCCTCGATAATGCTCTTGACGAAGACCTCGCGGAAGCCCCGTTTGGTGATGCGCTGTTGCTTCGCTGGCTTTGCTGCAGCTTGTCCAGCCCACCACTGTGACAGGGTTCCCTGTGACGCAGATGGGTCGGAATCGCCAGCCTCATCATTCTCGTCCTCGCCACAATCTCGCCGTTCTTGCCATGCTTGAAAGGTGTACTTGGGCGGTAGCTTCTTGCAGTCGGTACTGAGATGTGTTGTCAAGTTACTCCATTTCTTCGGGTAGGCTTCGGGTGGAACTTCGAAGATCTGGACGCTTCCATTTGATCGAGGCGTAGTCCGAACACGCCTGATTGAGCGATAAGTATCAATCTGACAGCCTGAGAGCACCACAAGAAGACTTACCTGCAGTGACGACAGGTCCAAATCCAGCAAGGTGCATGAGGAGGGTCTTTGTCGAACCCCGGAGTGCGCGTGTATTGCGAATAGGCCCAACTCTGTTTTGCGGTGAGGTCTTCCCCGACGACCTTGCCAACTGGTGGTGCATTGTCCTCCTCATCCGCATCAACATCAATCACGTCATCCTCCCCGCTCGATCCAGACGACCCACTCCCAGCCTATCACACAGTCAGAGCTGTTCGCAAGCTAAGACCGAACTTGACATACCCGTTTACGCCCCCCCTTTGTCTTCGCCTTCCCCTTCCCCTTCGCCTTTGACTCCTTCTCCTTTCCCTTCGCCTTACCCGCCTGCTTCTGGTTGTACTTCGTGATACCGAGTGCATCATCCTGTAAGTAGGATTAAGCAACATCATCTAGCACGCAAAATCGGGAACCTCACTGCCATCTTATCGGACACTATGCCCGTGCGTGAGCGTTTCGGCGCCACATCGTTTGCGGTGCCGTCGCCATCATTCAATCCTAATTTGGACAAGGTTAGCTATGTGAATCGAACAATCGATTAGAGACGCACCTCCATCATCATTGCGTTGCCGTTTCTCACCAGCCTGCGCACTGCCCGAGCCCGAAGCCTTGGCCGATGACGACGAATAGAAGGCCTCAGCAGGAACTCCTCCGCGTTTTTTCTTCGGCCTGTTGTGGGCACTTGTCAGCGAGTGGTAACAGTTGGTAAGACAATGATGTACGGGCTCCTGAGATGTACAACCCGCAAGAGATGCTCAAGCTTGCCGCACATGAGTTCAAGGTTCGCCTCGGTCATGCCATCAGCGTCCTTGTAGAATTCCACGAACTCAATGACGACTTGTAGACCATACTTCCCCCGAAGGACAAGCGCAGTCTGATCGGCCTCCGGCTTCTGCGAGTGGAATGCCCATTCCCAGATCTTGTTGAAAGTGTACCAGATACCCTCGCCGTCTAGGTTCTCGGGTTGATTCCTAAAGGTCTTGTGGAGAAAGCCATCTTGTGCACCCAGAGAGATAGTCTGAGGCAGGGCCTTTGTTGCAACCTTTAGATCATTGAGTAGCTTGCCTGCACGAGCCCAGGCTGGCGACGATTCGTGAAACTCGCGAAGACGTTGCAGGTTATCAGCCATGTGTACAAGCAAATCAGCATCCAGAACGGGAAAGCTGTCCCTGGTCAGTGGCCTCCTGGCAAGTTCCGGCGGAGAGAGCCGAAGCTACAAACCCTAGATTCAGGCCATGATGTCAGTGATCTGGGCCTTTGGTGTATTCTGAATATGCACGGATATGCATGCCATATCCTATTCTAAGTCATATCTACTCGTATCCTACTCTGACATATTCCAGCTCCTGAGATACGCGAAGGAGCGTAGCTATCCCTATTCAAGCTCGAGAATATGACTATATCCGGATATATCCCATAGTCCATCCATCCCTACTGGCGGGTGTTCGTCTGGCTGCGGGGCTGCTGGCGTGGGCGGGTTGATGAAAATTGGGCCTTTACGACCCGCAGAACCGACGGCTTCCTCTTCTCCCGAACCTCCGCATCTCCCTTCGTCTTCTTCGTTGGGCGAGGGTTGGGACTGCCCGCGACCTGCGCATTTGCGCCATCCTTGCTCACGGTATCGTGACGACGTTTCGCGCCAAGCTCGGGCGTGGCGGGACGCGGTTGCTTGGTGCGAGGAGCGGGTGGCGGAGGAGGAGGCATCGTTGTTGAAGGGGAGGGGATTGAGCCGGCTGAAGGTCCGGCGGAGACGCGCGGAACGTCCGGCGGAGACGCGCGGAACGTCCAGCGGAGACGCGCGGAACGTCCAGCGGAGATTCGAACTCGTCGAACGCAACCTCGTCCATCGGGATGTCCTCGTCGACACGGCTGGCCTGCGCGTCGTCCTCATGTGCCTCCACTGCTGCCACTGCCGCCTTCGCCTCCGCCTTTGCCTCTGCCTTTGCCTTTGCCTTTGCCTGCTTCTTCTTCTCCTTCTTCACCCTCTTCGCCTCCTTCTTCGCCTTACGCTTTGCCTTGCGCGCCTTGCGCATCTCCTCGTCCTCGCTTGACTCGCTGTCCGAGTCCGAAATCTCGTCCTCCTCCTCCTCCAACGACGCAGACGACAAGGACGACGACGACGAGCTGTCCGAATCCTCGTCCTTCGTGGCGGACGTCAGGCCAGGCGCGAGGGGGGGCGGTGCGGTGCGGGGGGCGCCCTTCGGGCGCTGATGGCTCTGCCCTGTATTAGACTATTGTTAGAGTACGCCTTTAAATGACAATAAATATTACTTACAGTTCCTATTGAACCATTTCTTGTATCCCAAGGGCGGGATCCAACCCTTCCGCTCGAGATCGAGCATGAACGCCCGCCGGATGGCGACATCCGCCTTGACGGGTGCCGCGCGCAGAACCGAGCGGCTCGGACGCTTAGCGCTGAGGCACTTCCCCTTCGTGACGTAGCACTTCAGGCAGATATGAGTGCCTCGATAAATGCAAGGCATGCCCAGCTTGCGGCACTGCCTGCACGGTTTCTGCAACTCTGCATCAGTACAAGCATGCAAACAAGGTAAGATTCGACGCACCCTGTTCATCAAACCCGGACGCTTCGAATCCAACCCGTGCGTCTCAGGGACGCTCCACACGTCCACCTCCGACAAATATTCCCCCTCCTTCAGCGCCTCTCCCTTCGCCATGATATCCTCCCTCTTCCTGTTCAACTGAACGTTCCCCGTGTTCGCGTTGAAGGGCGGACGCCAGACGTTCGTCGAGGCGCGCTTGTAGTCCGGCCAGGTGCTGGGATCGCCCCACTCGTTAGCGCTAGCGGGAGACAAGTTGTCGGCAGCGTTTGCGGAGGGTGCGCCGTGAGCCAGCGTTGGTGCGGGAGCGGGCGGAGGCAGCCGTAGAAGCTGGAGGGATGCAACCCTCGACCAAACCTGCTCACACGGGTTGTTACCCCTCTCGCAGGTTCTAACCCACTGCTCCGACTTCGCTGCACTCAAGCGGCCGTTCCCGGCTGCTTTGTAAGCCACCAGGAAACCCAGTTCTTTATTCTTATATTCGAAAATAGGCATTTTTATACCTCACATTTCCTAACCCTACATCAGGCACAAACTGGTAGCCGGGAATAGGTGCACTACGCGCGTCGCCCGCCTGTGAGGCACGCAACTCGGATCCGCTGGCCGCCAACACCGACGTCACCCGCTGGCACTGCCGCTCCCGTCATCCCGCTCGGCGTCCCGCCCTGCCCGCCGTGCCGCTC